GTCACTGTCTGGAAACTATAACTAAGTGTGGGTCAAGACAGAGGTCCATCGCTACCCAGGGTTAGCCCTCGACGGCAAAGAGTGTGAAAGTGAAAAGAAGACTAGGAGGAAAGAAGAAAAAGAGTAAATACGTGAAGAGGCGACTGACTGAATCATGCTGGCCCCGCCTTACCAGGACCACATCTATGGGAAGCGGCGCCCGCCGTTGTGTATTGCCTCACCCTGGGACACTGAAGGGTCCAAACATCCCCGGGCTCGACTCAACCACCCGGACGCCTTTTTTACAATATGGAAAGCAACGCACAGACAGCCATGCGTGGGAGAATCCGCACAGCTCGGGGTCCGCGGTGACGCCAATCAACAAACACCCACTAACACAGGCGCACACTGAGGGGTACTAGTGCATTAGTCACGGGGAAGTTTTTGGACGGCCTTTCATTGTTAAGTCTTGGCACAAATTAGCTGAAACACCCTGTATGTACAGTAAAGTCTTCCAATGAAGAAGTCAGTTTTCTTGGAAGGATCGCCGATCAGCCATCGCTCCTCTATGTGCTAACCACCCTACTCTTCCCCCCAATGTGTTTGGGTCCTCAAAAGACCAGCACGCTTCCAACCCAGAATTTCAAGAACTATTCGCGACTTCAATTCACTATAGGTGGCGCCACTCGTTTTCCAAAATGGCGGGTTTAGTGAGGGTCGGAGATGCGTGCCGCAGCTGAGCCTGTCTAGAGTTCTGGCTTCAATGGGCGACACAAATTATTCCTGGTAATGCTAGAAATCTAGGTTGTTATGAGCGCAGGTCACCTCTTTATCCTGGAAGCAAAAACGGTGTTTAGCGTAATATTTAGGCCAGGAGGTACGTTTTAATTCCGTAGCGAAACCGAAACTAACCTTTGGATTTAATTTCTCGGTGTAGGTCTTAATTTCAGATTCTTTCATAACTCAAAATGTGTCTCACACCGTAATTATTTAGTTCAAGAAGTTGTTCGCGGAAACTTTCATCCCTTTAAAGACAGGGTCTTTCCTACACCTCAGAGGTAACATAGAATATTATTATTTGTTGCAAAAATCAGTGCTGATATTTGTGCGTTTCTGTTACCTTTCCTCGCTCACATAATTGTCATATGAAATAATGAACTACGGGACTTTCAATGGCTTGTTGTGTATTTAGATAATTAATTTTTTTAACATTTTTCCCAGCACCAGAGGAACAGAATATATCCAATTTATACAATATGTTCACAAAACGTATGAATTAAGAAACGCTGTTGTCACTAGAAAAATTCAAAGACGGAATCCGAGTCAGGCAGCTGAAGTGTGCGTGTTTTTAAAGCAGCGCGTGATGCATAGGAGTTTATATTGCATCCAGTGTCTGACTGTTTGCCTATCTTGATAACGATGTCAGAGGTTTTCATGTGTTAAAAAGAAAACAAGAGTATACCTTTTGGGAAAGACTATTATGGTTAAATGGCGTATTTTTGTGATCGTAGCGTCAAATGGGGGGCAAACATTACCCCGATTTGTATTAATATTAACATAAATATTAAAATTAAGATATTTTACATTAACTGAAAAGCGTGTTGGTAACATTGACTTCCGACAGAAAGAATAAAACAAACTTATCGTCCCTTGTGTCGAGTTTGTTTTATTCTTTCTGTTGCCAGTCAAAGATACTTTATTACGCAATTTTTCAAGCTCTAAAATAATTAGTTGCTTATAATTTAATTTCAAACGTGCGAACAAGTATGAGAACCTAAAGTGTGCTAATTATCATCACTGGTGCCAATTGCAGCATTTTTAATTACCAAGTTATAAAATAAATAAAGTCTAAAATCAATAATAGCATTCTAGCTAATGTGAGAAATTCATGTAAAATTAGATTAAGTGGGGGTGCTATGAAAACAGCGAATTTTGACAATTACCAAAACTTTCAAAGTCGCCGCCAATATCCTTCCAGACCAAATCCCCCCTCCCCCCTCCCCCCCTTCCCTCCCCCCCCCCCTCCCCCCCGAAAACAAAACAAAACAAGAACGGATTTTTTTTAATTACTACTCTATTTTTTACAGTTATTTACTTTCGTACTTGCTCGACGTCGTTTTGCCAATCTCCGCCTTTCCAGTTCGAAGGAACGCCTACCTGCCTGCGCGTCTGCTCACTGCAGCACGTTTCGTAGGCCTTCGAACCTGGTGAAACAGTAGTGAGGTTTAGTATTGCCTATACGAGCGAGCGCAAGCGCTGTGTGTTTGCGTTAGTTTTGCGTGTTCAACGCTGCGCGTGCGCGGAGCCCAAAATTGCGGTCTTGGATCGGAGCAAGGCAACGATGAGCACGCGCAACATGGAGCACGCTGCCCTAACGCAAACGCAAAGTGCTTGCTTCTATACGCAATACTAAAACTCTCTAATAAGGTACAATCTCATACCGGCCGCAGCACTGCATTAGGACATTGAAGCGTGTTGTTTGCATTCGAAAATGGCATTTCGCGAGCCATGATCGCGAGCAGTTCCGTCGTGCCCGCTGGGCAGGAGAATCGAGGGACCCTCACTAGAGCGCTTCCCGTTTCCGCCGCGGGAGGACGAGCAACGAGCTGGAGACGCGAATATCTAATATATAACCAGGTGTCATGAAAATATTTTCAGCTATAGATTACCAAACTCGATTCATATGAGCCCAGGTTTCCCAAGGGTTGCCCGAGGGGTTCCTCGAGCTCCCGAATTTTCTTGACCATACCTCCCTCTGAGTCAAGTGGTTCTTGCAATTTAAGTATTATATTAGAGGATCTGGGATATTTATTGGCCCATAACCTGCTGCCAACGACTGTTATATGCGCATCATTGTTTGAAAGGAGTGTTAGACTTATGCACTGCCTTACTGCATGAATGTTGAGGGTGGGACAGCAACGCAATCGGTCTGAACCATTTTGAAATATCTTTTGAAGGAGCCAAATCCATTTTATAACAACATAAACAACTTCGGGAGCATAAGAAAACACTACACTTTCGTTTGTACTACTGCAAATATTGTCTATATGTTAAGATTTATGTGTTGAGCCGTCCCCCTATAAGACGTTGACTAGTTGCCTTCACACTTCAATGCGATTTTTCATTAGCGTCCATTGCACACCACGCTTCATTCTCTCAAGACAAAACTAGCTGTTTAGGATAGAAACACCAGCCACAAAAACAAGAGGCTAGTTTTTGAAGGACAGTATGAACGGCTGAGAATGGTTACTTCAGCCATAAAGTAAAAGGTAAACCAAATCATAACAGTGAACCCTCGTTAACACAAACTCCTCGGCCAGTAGCGTACCAACGTGTTTTTGAGTGGGGGGGGGGGGGGGGGGGGCAAACCAGAGCCCCCCCCCCCCCCCATGGCCGGGGCGGTCCCTTGGTATGCCTGTGGCACCGCCGGCTAGTATTTGCCGTGCCCAGTGGCGGCTTTTTCAGGGGGGCAACACACATGCCTTGTCCCCCCCCCCCCTCCCCCACTCTGAGAACTAAGGGGCAAGCCCTTGCCCCCCCCCCCCCCCCCCCCGGTTGGTACGCCCATGTCCTCGGCTATGTCGATATATCGATGAAGTGAATATATTTCTTACTGATGGAATGATCACAAACAATGAAATTGAAGAGACCTCAAAATCTTGTCAACAAAAATTATTTTAAAAAAAGACAGGGCACAGCAAAACGATGAATTGGTCCTCCGAACATTGGCTGACAACAAAACAGCGATTCAAAAACACTCAAAAATAAAATAAAAAAAAAACATCTTAAATGTTCTGCGTCTTTTTGAGCCCGCGACAATGTTAATTCTTATGAGTGTTGCTTGCTGATCATTTTCTTGATGTCATTTTGTACTCCCCACGATGCCGCGCGCCGTGCGAGTGTCAAGGCAATTAGAACGATTGCCGGAAGGGATGCACAATAATACGTTATCAGGGAAGTGAAAATCAGTGCCTCACTTATCTCGGAACACTGCTGATTTAGAGTGAAATTTTTCCTAGCATTTATGACTTTGAAGTAACAAGATTTTGCAGTATTTCATGAAAATAATATTATAACAGATTTATCTCAAGCACCTAAATCAATACTTCTTCATTGAAGTCCTAAAGGCTCATCAAACTGCAATGTTTAATTGAGGTAAAAACGCACATTTTATTAGGTACATAATTCATATTTTAAAACTGCATGATAAAAAATTTGGCATGTGAATGATAAATATGCCTCCTTAAAATCCTGCCAAACTCATTAAATTTCTTCAAGAGTTTCCACCCACTGCTCTACCTAATTTAGTTTTAATTTACTTCATTTACTGCTTCATGACACAGACGGAACCTGTAAAAAGGTGAGAACTAAACAGTAGAGTAGATATAAAAATATAGACCTAGGATATATTTATCCTATAAATATTGTTACAATATCCGAAATATTGTTACAATATCCGAAATATTGTTACAATATCCATATAAATATTGTTACAATATCCGAACATCCTTGCTAAATCTCAAAGTATAAAAAAGTCAGAATGTTGAAGGCTGTCATTTATACCAGCCACATTTTAATCAGACCTTTAGAGAAAGGAAGAGTTTTTACATCATATAATAAAGTGAAATTATTTTTCAAGGCAATGCTGATACAATTTTTCCGAATTTTGCCAAAACGTTCCAGATGTAGAACCGTAAGCATTTTAGCGCTAATTGCGCAGCCTTTGCATCACTTCCTGGAGGTTTTTTTTTTTTTTTTTTTTTTTTTTACCATGAGTGAATCAAGATGAGTGTTTCTCAATATCGAAATGTTTGAGCCACCCAAACCTAGAGCGTTAATCGCTGCTGAAGCCTTTGTTTTTTGTAATACATAATATGCTGGATGTAAGCACTCCCTCCTGAGAAAGATATCGGCTGCTTTCGCGCAACGCGTGAACTTGTAAAATCAATAACATGCCATTTTGATCAAAGTTGAATATGAACCGATAACTTATGTTCATAAGCAACGAAAAGCTTTAGCACCTGGAGTACATGGGCCATCTTGGAGAGTGACGTCGTCGAGTGCGAAGGCCTCGTACACGCCGAGGCGCTCGCTTGCCACGGTGATGACAATCTGCAGCGAATGAAGAGCACGTACATCGCATAATGTCATGTTAATTGATGCATTGCAAGCATTAGTGAATTTTGAATTCTAAGCGAATTCGAAGTGAACAGTGGTTTCGGGCAAATACTTTCTAATCGAATATCATACACAGTTTCTCCAAGTCTTTTACTACTATTGCACCATGCCTAAACAAAGCTCTAGATGAACACGCCAAGGCTGTTCCCAAGCTTCCGCTGGTCCGCTTCAATACTCAGTCAATTTTAACATAACTACGATATATTATGGACCGTGACGTGGGAATGCTTAGTGCTTGCATTGGGGTGGCAAGTAAACAACGAATTTACCCAATACATAAACCTATATTCATTCCCAGCTATACCGAATCAAGGGATTTAAACATCTGCTTGCGATATGAAAAAATATTTTCTGCATTCTCGAATTTGCAAAAAAAAAGCACAAATAATGACTGCAGGTTGTTTGGACCCTGCAGTTTGATCCCTGCAGCCACATTTTAGTTTAAAAAAGTGACTGCAATGTAGATATCTACATTCATAATGTTTTCGTTGTTTTTTAACACACCAGGAGCTAATGTCCACTATCGCGCTTGGAGATGCGCTTTTCTCCTAACCACACGGCTGCGCTGCGGCTAGGCGAGACCCGGGCATTGCTTCTCTGCAGTGCAACGGTGTTCGGTTATGGGCGCAGTCAACGGAGATAACCCGCCCCGATCAGCACTTGCAAAAGTATGAATTCAGCATTCCATTGCGAAACAAACACAAAATCACTTATTATTCGAAAACCTAGAATTTCAAAATACAACTATTCTCACAACCCTTATGATGCCACAGGAACTGTGACTATGTGAGCTTCAGTAGTCAATTGGTCAACTGAGTTGAAGGGAAGCTGAAGAGATCCTTTCCTGTAAAAAAGCTAAACGTTTTAATGGCGCCTAAAGGATATATCACTGGTCTTATTAGTAGGAAAATCGTAATTTCATATTGACAATTTGACGTAGCCCCACCCGTTGCGGCGTGCTTAGCGTAGGAGAGTGCCAGAGCGGAGAAAAATAACTAGAGAAACTGACGTCATCGGCGGGCTCACATGAGCCTCGCTCGCCACTTATCAGGTCGGGGAAGCCGACGTCGATGTGACGAAGCTTTGGACAGTTAACAGGCCAGGGACGGCGCCAAGGGGAGGCGAAGAGTGGCGGGCGCCTCTCCTAAAATTTCTTCTGCTATCCAGGATGAAGCAGCTTTGTACACAAATAATTGCCTACGACGTCGGCTTGAAGAGCCAGCGTAACGAGTGTGCAGACTTTAGAGCCGTTCATATCTTTTATATTTTTTTCCTATTAACTTCCAGACGCTGGAAGTCGTACCGCGGGCGAGTAAGCTATCGAGCGCTTTTGAAAAAGCAGCTCCCCTTTGTGACGCCTGCTGGCTTTTCTCTCCGTATTCCGCTCTGTGGTGCTTATCTTCAGCGGAGACCGGAGATGTGAACGAAGAGGAGTTAAAGTAGAGGTCATGGGGAATTCCGGACTGTCTCAGAAAAGGAAGCAAAATCTGGTTGTGAGTCGGAGCACAGGGGGTAGACGTCCCTGCTGTGATACCCCCCCCCCCCCCTTCTTCCTTCTCGTGTCTTCGCATTTCCCTTTTCAATAAGCACACCGCATAAGCTATCTTGATAAGCCCGTGGGCGACAGCTCCCCAGAGCAACTTCCCCCCCCCCAATTTGGTTCGCCTCCGCACTGCCCCCCCCCCCCCCCCCCATTATGAACATCCTGGCGCCGTCCCTGTAACAGGCGGAAATCGCAGCGCATATTTTTTTTTTAAACAAATGCGCTTTACAGTTACTTTAGTCCAAGTTAAGTGTGACAACTGAATTTACTGCACGAACTTAACTTAGAGTTCTTCAAAAGCACTTAAGATTTTTTCAAGTGACCACAATTTGGCCACAACTGAAGCGACAGCTTCAAGTGTTGCCAAGAACCAAATGTGAGTTGAACTTTTTCTTCTGCCGGCTTTGATATCGACATGTCTGGTAAGTCTAGGCAATATGCAAGGCGAAAACAAAATTAAACTACGGTAAATTAGGAGCCGCAATGCATTGGCCACAGAACTTGCATCCAATTGCTTCATCAGACACTGGGTTGAAGTAGACTAGCATACCATTGTTCAGACATTCATGACAGATTCTTCTCCCTTATACTCTCATCAATATTCTGCAGGCTAACACCCACCTATTTATAAAAAAGCCACGCGTTGCATTCTGTTTCAGGTGGGTGGGGGAAGTCTCCACTGCAGATAAGAAATTTGTTCGGTACAGTACCACAACTAGCCTGGGACCACTAGCGTGCGTCACGCAGTGATGATACAGGACCGCACGTCTGTACGACGCTCATTTAGATAAAAACGGGCAGGGGTGAGAATTAAACCAGGGATCCTTGGGTGTTTATTCGCGAGCGCTCCCCGTACTCCGAGCTGCGATAGGCTAACTTGCAGGGTGTCTAGCAACCGGGAAAACCGGGAATTGTCAGCGAAATTTTAATTCGCAGGAAAAATCAGGGAATTGTCAGGAATATTGTCAAAAAGCGAGCCCAGTCAGAAAAAATGAGCCGGAAACGCTATCGGGTGCCCTGAGCAAAGGCAATTGAGGACTTGGGGGCAGAAAAACAAGCAATACATTCTGCTTAGGGCGGAGCGCGGGCTCTGCTCACCCGGTGTAGAGTGTACTACTCCATGCAAAGGAAGCAGCTGACAAATCCAGTCGAAGCTCTGGATTGGATTAGAATTGAGGGCGCGACACTAGGCTAGATCCAGTTAGAGCTACTAGATTTAGTAACAAATAGGAAAGCTGCAGACCCCAATACCATCTAAGCCGTAAGCCAAAAATATGCAAAATTGTGCATCTGGCGGCCATGCAGCCATTTGGTTATTAACGTGTGTGGTCGAGCATCGTGTTTTCATAGTGAGTCCGGAAGTGGCCTCTTCACTGACGATGTCGGTGGCAAGAAAGTGCTCACTTAATACGGATTTGACGAACCCGAATATTTCGGAATATGCAAGTTGGATTAGGCCCGTGCAAAGTGATCCTCACAGTGCTCAATGCTCACTGCCTTGTGTTGTAATGGTCTTATATATTTAACCGCCTCTGCAGTGGTCAGGGAAAAGTCAGGAAATTTCAAAGTAATAATTTGCTAGACACGCAGGTTAAAAAACACCGCCAAGTTGCTTTTTCTTTTTGCTTGATGTCTTTGCCAGAAGTAAAACATTTACACTTCAGCTAAAATAAAAACGGAGAAAAGCGCTTTTGCTATTTTTTTAGAAATGGGGCATTTTAAACGAGATCCCATCAGTCTTAGGCCCATCTGGCCTAAGACTGATTTTGATTAAGTTCTAGCTTCTTTGACCAGGAACGTCAACAAATTTTCTGCACGAGAGAAAACTTCCTGATTGATACTAAGCTGAAATGTACAGTTTTCGAAAGGCGCAAAGCAGTGGCGATCTGCATGATGCAACAGAATGCGCGAAACACGACAGGACAAATTCGGAGAAACACACACACAGGGCATGAGCTAACTGGTAGCTAATGTTTATTGAACGATTTCAATGTCACAGAAACTGTTTTGCAAATACAGACACAGTGTTGCCTAATCGGGGGAAAAGAAACAAACGTGACACAGGGTTAATACACAGTGGGATGCTACCCCTTTTGGTAAAGTGCGAAACCAAATGGCATGCGATTAGGACTCCTTTTTTAGTGTGGACTCTTTACATATCATGAACCAAGAGTTGAAGTTTTTCATCGCCTTCGTAAGTGCAGACGACTCTGATCAGTGCCCCTGCCTCTCGCGTGCTCGCATGACTCACGTGTACCTTGCCTTACAAAGCATCGGCTTATCACACGATATAACTTCCTGCTACGTTTTAATGCGGTGTCATATCTGTTTGCTTGCTTTTTTACAAGACGAGAGTGTGTGTGTACGGGACAGTTTTTGTGACATTGGGATCGCGTCGGAAATTATAGTTGCCAATAAGTGCTTGTCCTCTTTGTGTATGTTTCTGAGACTCTGCCGATTCCTTTTTTCACGTTTTTTCACTATGTTCATCAACCAACTAGACCAGCAATCCACTATTTTACAGTAGAAATCTGATCCTTATTCTCAGAAAATTAGGCATAAAAACAAAAATGGAATAGCTGTTTGCAGCTCAAACTTGCCTACAACTAGGATGTTATCTTTTTCTCTACAATGCTCACTTCGAGTTTGGCAGGTGTTATCTTAAGTATGCCTCATTATTATAACTAATACTTATTAATACTGTTCCCTTCTAAAAAGTCACTTTGATAAGATTGGGTACAAGTTTACAAACAAAAATAGAGAAAGAAAGAAGAAGCGAAACAATACAACTCATTACACCTACAATGAATGTACAATTACAATTACGATTCCAAAAGCAATCATTGAAACACTTTAGACACTAATATGACAAAACAATAAAGAAGATCGATGGCCGAGCGGGCTAGCCCACACCAGCTCGGAGCACATGGAGCAAAAGCTCGAAGCTACAGAACCCTGGGATCCTGCATTCGATCCCCACAGCTGCCCGTTTCAAACTGGATGAGCAATGTGCCGGCGTCCGGTCCTGTATCAATACTGCGTGGTTCACGTTAAAGACCCCACGATAGCGGTTGTACTGTACAGGCTCAATTGCTTATCTACTGCTGGCAGACAAGCTGCCGGTAGAGCCAGACAAACTTCAGGCGGTATAAACATACAAAGAGACGCAATTACAAAAATAACTTGAAGCACTTGCTATCACTTCCTGTGACCAGAACAAGAACAACAACAAAGTATTTAACACGCTATATATTACATAAATTATCAATAACACTTGCAAAGTCGTTTGGATAGCGATCAATGCGATATTATGGTGAAGGAGATTCCAATCATGGATTGTTCTAGGAAACAAATGCAATTGACCAAACCAAGTGTCCTGCAAATGACGGCGGCAGCTGTTGCATTGTTGAAAGATGTGCTTAGGGGAGTTCCTTCAAGTCAGTATGCTTAAAAGCTTTGCTTTCCGCAAAATGGTTGACAGAGGCTTTAGCTGGCTTTAGAACATGTGTGCTTTTGTGGGATGCTTTTACGAGATATCCTTTTGTAAAGCGAATGACAGAGACATGCATTTTGATTCCAATGCTCTTAAAATGTTTTTAGACGTGCCGGAAAGTCGTCAAGAACTCCAAAGCGGCGGCAGTGGCTGCGGTTTCGGAGCTCTTGCTGTGTGGACGGCGGCAAGGGGACAAGAAAAAGGGGAAGCGATAGCCCAACTTGGCATATTTGACATTACTGGGCGAGAGGCGACGACGATAGGGAGTCAGCGACAGTGCGGCGGCGATGGGGATGCATGCCCCCCCCCCCCCCTTCCCGCCTCCGCAATCTTGTGGTTTTTGTTTATGGACACCGCAGGATTTCGACAGAGATTGGCACTAACAGTTGCCACTGTAAAACCAATACTTCTTTTTAAAGCTGGTTACACAATTAAGACCGAACGCTTCATGAGCAAATGTCACCGAAAATATTTCTATGGTGCCATAGCATCTGCACTATCATACCTGATGAGTTCCCAAACGGGTCTCGGAGTAAACCACCCGTTGCCAGGAGCTCGAAACTCCAGACGTAGCGAATCGGAAGGTAATGTTCTTCCCGCCTTCTTGGACGGACTGGAAAGAGGCCGGCACGGTCCGTATACCAGAGTGGTGGTACCACCCGGTGAAGCAGAACGGGCCCTTGGACGGGATGCGGAGGAACGAGACGCCCGTGGTGCTCGCGTACGCGCAGGATCCTTGGTCTGCGGGCAAACACGGTGTACCACGTTGCACTTCGTAGTTAAATAAAAGACACTCGAGACACTCTGGCAAGGCATATGTGTCTAAAACCCTGGGCTCTCAAAGTGGTATTTTAATAACCCAGTGGTTCCTCAAACCACCCTCACGGGTTCCCCAGTGAACACTCATGGGTTCCCAGAGCACCGTCCTCATTTCCTCAAGCGCTCGAACTTTCTAGTCCGCTCCTGCCGTTAAGTAAAGTGTTTCCTTTTTTTTTCCCAACCACACTCTACAGATAAACTCCTTTGTTGCAGACATTTCGAACCGGATGGTTCGAACCGGTTCGAAATGTCTGCAGCAAAGGAGTTTATCTGTAGAATGTTGTTGGGAAAACGTTCCGTGAGTACTTAAAGGCTGTTCGAGAAATAAACCAGTTAGCTAAGTTTGAGACGTTCTCTGTGTCTGTTCCTTCTACTCAAAGTTCTTCCGATTTCTTCCACCGCAGTCTCAGGTGTAACACGACATGATTAGCTACCACCAGCTCGCCTGCACACTTACCGTCTTTTCACTAATAGTACACAGTTTAATTTTTTTGGCACCATGGTACTGCTACTAGTATTATTATTATTAATGCGTTCAGGATGGCACTTTCAGTACTCTTTACATTCAATTACTGCGTTATTTTTAGACGCCAACTGTTATTATGCATTTATGAGATCTATAAATAAATAAGAATCCAATTGATACAAAAGTATAAAACGCTTGTCTCTTAATCTAGAGGCCACAACTTAAATTCCATGCAGCAAATAAGAAAAGACACAATACGATGAAAAAATCTTCAAAGAAAACAATTAGTTCCAACACGTGACAGACAATGTTAACAAATAAATGACTCCGCCTTGTTGTACCTGTGCCTGGCTTGTGATCCACGGTCGGACCATTTGGTGCCGTCGAGACCTTAGCCACCCTGAATGCAGATTCCTTCGCGGTATTGGTCGCGAAGCCACACAGGTCGGTCTCGAAGTCGCACGTTTTTGTGGCTGCAAGAAAATGACAATATCGTTCAAGCAAGGAAATTTTGAAAAAAAACGAGAAAGTAAGTGAAAAAAGGGATCTCTTATAATCAACGGTGTGAAGCTTAACCTTTTAATGGTAGTCGCCGTACCAGTACGGCGGTGATTACAGATTTGAAAGTGCTCGCATAAAGCGAAACTTCGCATACCACGGGAGGTGTTAATATGTGTTATATCTTTGGAGAACTATTAACATTATATTGCCTATTGTCACATGCTGTCGAATGTCATATCCTGCAAACCTTGCAGGTCAAAGAGACAGTTTAAGGCAGAGCTGTATACAGAGTTTGGCCCTTCATTGTGAAGTATAGGTGAGGAGGCGCCATTGGCTGAAAGCGGGCTCGGCGTGTTTCATGCCGCCTTCACCAATTCAAATATGGCCAACCAGAAGCCGCGAATAACACCCTGGCAGGGATTGCGACAAGCTAAATTAATAAGTATGCCGGAGTAACCCTCGGGAACTGAAAATATGATGCACGTGTAGTTCTTTTTTTTTTTTTATCACGGCACGTAATTCGTGCGCCAAGAAGCAAGGGCAGGGCATCTGCCGACTGAGCGTTCGGACTCCGTCCGAACAAAACAGAGTTCAAGGGTCACATTTGTGGCATCCGTCTTTTTGCCTTACCGTAAGCGAAACGTCACGTGCACCATATTTTCAACCATGAAGAGTTACTACATTTAACTCTTACATTCATATTAAAAGTTTTTCTTGTTACCACCTCTAGTGGATTCTTTTAGGGTTCTAATTGGCCAAGACAGCATGTAAAGCCCTCTAGCTATTTGCGCCTGCTGTACGCCATTGCTCTGCCCGCTCCTCCCGTTGACCATACTCTCTCCATATATGACTCTGCTCTAATGCACATTCTTTTCGTGCTGCTGAGCGAGTGACGCATACAGCTACCACCGCATTCACTTCATACCATCAAACTTTTTGTAAGGCTTCAGTAGGAGTTCTACTGCCCTTACAGCCAACATGTACCCACGTCTGTCAACTGTGTTGTAATTGCTGCCAGTAGAGACTTTTACTCCGAAAAAGCGGTAAAGACCCAATTTTAATACCTAGAAACTTGAATTTACGCAAATATATTATTTTGACGTCGTATTTGGGTTGTTCGTAGTTCAGTCGTGTACTTTAGAGGAGATTAGGAGCCGAATATTTTCCTCTTGAAGCAAATTAAAAGCAGAAGGAACTTAATTTTGGAGCACTATGGAGAAAGAATTTGTATTTTACAGCACCTTAGAAGTAACTGTGACATAATTTTAAGAAAACATATTATCCAGTTGTACCATGAGTTACAATTGAAGTAAACTAGGTTTGTAGTACTAAGTGTGGGAAGCTATTGAATGCATCATTACCCTGAAATACATAAATTTGCACAAAAAAGTATATTTTACTTTAGAAACAAATTTTTATTAAAAATGGAGGGACACGACTCGGTGACATTAATGCTACATGCTACGTTGCATCATGCATTCATCTAATTAGGTACAATGCATCGGCTGGAAGGATAAATGGACAGATGGGGCCGAACCAAGGAATTGGATAGTGGCTTGCACACCTTGGTAATGGAATAGCCATGATTGCCAACCGAGCTTTCACGTTCCGCTAAATCTAGCGTAACCGTGATTTTTCGCCAAGCGTGGCGTAATTTCGGTCGATTTAACTCCTGTGGCGCCGCTAGGTCCATATGGTTTATCACACTGTGTTAAACCAGGTAATGGTTCAAGTTCCTTTGCACCAAATCATGGTTCACAGGAACTCACGGGAGCAGAAGTAATGTTAATTTGTTGACCAAGCACACTCAGGCCAAAGCCTGGGCAAAAGTTTTGTTGTGCCTTCAAAAATTATGAGTCATTTGTAATCTGTGCAGTCAACTACGTACCACCATGTTGCACGATAAACTTATGAAATCTCCGGAAACATACAAAGAGATTACGTTTTCCTCTAAAACATCAACCGTTTATCAGCACCGGCGATTCAGGCAGGTGTCACGTAGATGTGCATGGACGACCTCAAGTATCTAAAACTTTGACATCTGGTCTCAACTGCTAGCATGATATTTGGGTGAAAACTAACTGTTCCACAACGCATATTTTATTATTTTCATGATAAAATCACGATTCTCTTTTCTCCCTAACACCTGACACATCCATGCTAGGTATGAACAGGCTGTGAATAAAACAAATTCCAAAAATGCATGTCCCCGCTCCTTAAAGGCGGACGACCAGGCTCATATCCTGCACGGCTTCCGTCCTTTTCAAATTTTCGAGCGACTGATGCGAATGATGAAAAGAAGGAACTAAGAAAGACGGCAATGGGACCGCGCGCGCCTTTCGGATGGTGGGGTGTTTCATTGTGCGAGCACGTGAATGGAAATGAGCCTGCCTAAAGTGTGCCCCTCAATGGAGGTGTCACAATATGTACGCCGCAGGATTATGAAAGGCACCTCCCAGGACCAGGAAGCGAGAAGCAGCTTGTTTCATGAACTTCGCTGGGTGCTTCTTTGATCACCGTATTCTTTAATCAACGTAGATTGATGACTTCAAAATAACTGCTCCCCCCTGTCGTAAGGTTGTATCGGAATGAATCGGTATAAACATGGGAGGGCCGCAATAAAAGAAGGGAGTGAAGCAGCTTCGTTTTGCAAACTTACGGGCAAAAAATAAGCAGCCAATAAGCCACACACAATGTGCATAAAGGGTACGACAGGGAAATCAATCACTCACAGGTAACTGCATCCAGGAAGCAAGATCTATCCCCCCTTCTCAGGAGGGGGTTATACAAAACTTACTTCGCTCGAATACGCAATCACGAGTTTTCATATTCCCAACTTTCGAACGAGCGGCTGTGTGGGGCTTTGCATGCGAAAAGGATGTTTTCCAAAATCATAAATATCTCAACGATTAAAAAAACAAACTAAATGAAGAACTCAAAAACCAAGGACCGCTTCCATTTGAATTTAGTACCATCGAAAAAAAAAAAGCTTTCAGTGAAAGATAAAAGAAATACCAGTACACGGCACGCTGACTAAGAACCTGCCCTGATGTCAACGACATTGGAACTCACGGACACAAGGCCGATTTTCAATCATGTTGGGGTTGCTCATTTGTAACCTAACCTCATTTTTTTCTAGTTGGAATATATGGCATAGCCGGCGTGGGCTTAGCAGAGCACGAGTAGGGGGGGGGGGGAGATAGAAAACAGGCAATGGTGGAAAAGGTGGAAGGAGAGAGAGAAGGAAGCGACGGAAAATCAGAAAGCGCCAACTGGTCGTCGGTATTTATGTGTGAACTTAAAAACCCTATAAGCAGGTTTTGGGAACTCTTCACGAACTGGAGAAGTACCACACTCCAATTTGAGTAAAACGATAGAGCCATTAAAGTTCACAATGGCATACCTCAGATAAGCCTACTCACAATGGCATACCTCAGATAAGCCTACTTTTTTTACTGGATCAAAACTGTTCCCGTTTCTATAACCCGTCTCTTATATCTATTGTTAACAATGTGGGTTATACATCCCCATTTTAATATCTCTTATTATCTAGAACATTGACCAATGTGTTGCAAAAACGTAAATTAAACGTCAGTACTGTATGCCTTGTTGTATCTTGCTCATACATCCAAGGGATATGAGGTATCTAATACTACCCGAATGTGTGGACTATCATTGCTCTAGAACCACTCAAGATTCTTGGCATATACACTACCCCAATATTAACCTTACTCTGTGGATCCTGTCAGTATTGTCTCACAGTTCTGAATGCTGTCATGAAAGCTCCAGAACTAAATATTTTGCATGCTTTATGCTCCTTGTTTTTATGTCCTACAGAACTGTTACAACGCTAGCATTAGAGTATTAAAAGGTAAAGTGTATTACCGAGTATTTGAGAGAAAACAAAACCAGGTTTGTTTGTTTTTTACGGCAAATACATCAACTATGCTTCACCATACACCAAGTCTGATCTTAGATGCAGCGTTAGTAATTAGGACTGAATGCCAAGGTCTCGAAACATTTTTGTCTGATTCAAAAGTTATGAGCAATTTCCTGAAACTTCCAATGAGAAAATGGCTGTCAATGGAGCACACAAATACTACCCTAGTGAACAATCTTTTATTTATAAGCATTGATTTCGTCCAATAAACAAATATGCTTGAGATCTGAATATATAAGAACATATAAGAACGTTTTAAAAGCTAATAAGAACAATATAAGGTTGCATAAGCAGTTACAAGAAACTTAGCAAAAACAATTATGAAACTTATTATCAGTTGCTTATAACTTCTTATGTAGTTTTATGGTTCTAATATATTATTTAATCATATGTGTTTTCGTACTAAGAGATTTCCCATACAAATGAGATTTCTCACTAGGATACATGGAGATACATGGTGTCTCCTGAGAGCCCCTATTTCCTTATTAAAGATTTCCGAAAATCGCTTGCGCCTGTTGAATAATATAAGGCAACCTGTGAAATGTTGACAAACTGGTGCCGACCACAAGCAGTACATCTGGGCAAACATTAAGCAATCAGCAATACGCATTTGTTTTGCTTTTTTCTAAAAAAATATATTTTTCCAAACATCTTGTATAATTAATTATGTTTCCAGTACTTCAAGTTTACTCCAAGCAAAACAATACATGCCAGTATAAGGAAGACTAATATGCTGGTGTCAAAGTCCGCCTACAACAAATTTCATACTGTTGCCAAAGTTGTTTTTATTGCCACGTTGAGTAAACCTGTAGTCACGCGCAAGCGCTCTGAGTGTATTACTGAATGGCTTCTTTTTTGTTGATGAAGAAAGAACATACGCAACTATCGCACAGAATGCAACATCAAACTTTGCACATTTTCTCAGCTTTTTTGTCACTCAGGGTTCTCAAAATATATATGCACATAAGTATCACGAGGGCTTTCTAAATTCGCATAGCATCCTTTTTGTTTCCGATAGGCCATGTGATAAAGAAAATTCAACATGTGGCATGAATAATAAAGTTAGGGTACAGATTCAGTAAAATAATGCACAGTGCCGAAACAGGTGTTTTATCTGCTATGAGTGCACTGTGCACAGGAATTACACAGGTAGGTGATCACAACATGGAATCCTACATGAAAAAAGGAAGAGGACTTAAAGCAATCATAAATTCGCTAAGGATATTACCGCAATGAAGGTGAAGACTAGTTTTATCTACTACTCGTAACATGGTGCGAAGTAGTCAAATGACATAAAAAATTAAGTTTAACATATTTGTATTTACCTAAAATTCGGTTGCTACATAAACTAACTCTAACAAGAGGTGTGAGTGGTGCTGCAAGGATATGAAGATAATTATTTTGGTTTCTGCCCCTTAAAAACATTGACTATATATATTCTGCATAATGTCCCATGTTCAAAACTTGGCCACAGTTATGGGACACTGGCAGGGTATTTATGCTCGCCAAGGTTTTTATTGGTTACATGACACCTACCGGCCAAGCTACGCAAAACACATTTTGATGCTCAAAATTCGTTTTTATCCTCCCGAAAACCGTCGATCAATAACTGGTCTGTTTGAGTCCCGCTCACTCTCTTCTCTATGGTCACGTGCCGTTCAGACAGTCACTAAATATACTCAAATTTGTGGAAGATCGAAGGCGCACACTCAATAGTAAAAATATAAAAAATATAAAGCCTTGCGGCTTCTAAAGCACTACAAATACGTTAAATAAGAAAGGTCCAGAGTGCCGGAAGTACATGCACTGCGTAATTCTCAACATGGCGTCCTATCGCGTGATAGCGGGAGGAGTTTCTTGGAGTCGCGGGCTGGACGGCTGGACAAAGCGGACTAAGCGGGAACGGCGGACGACAGAAGTGGAATCTCTATTTCAGAACTGTCGTTGGCGGTACCGGCGACTCTGTCCAGCTTCGAAATAGGATGTTTGTACTGATCAGAACAATAAGGATCTATTCTGTAGGACATGCTCTACCACCAAGCTGATTCGCGCGAAGACGTAACCGAGCCCCTTATCCTGGCTGAAGACATCGCTCGTCTGATATACATAAATTGGTAAGAACTTAAAACACGCGCAATTACAGCAATCACGAACTACGTACTAGAAGATGAATATGCAGGCGTACGATTGCTTTACTACCTAGGGGCGAATGTGGCCAATTTATGGCGCCGCCCGACTTCGAGTCTGGGGAGGTCCTTTCCAAAAAGAATCGGCAGCAAATGTTCTGATCAACAGTGGATTGGCTACATTACTGCCAACGAAGAGTTCCCCCTCCTGTGCTTGATCATTACAATGTTAAAACTGTCGTTTGCCTCGTACAACCAAGAACACGGGGGGAAAACGCGGTCGCGTGTAACTACGTCACTTCCCACAACTCTTTTCTCCTCTCTACTTCTCCCCCTTCTCTTAGTGGACATGTCGCCCCATTACTCTGTGCTCGTGTTTCGGTTTTTTGACAGTTGCTTCTTTTGGCTTTAATAAAATACACGTGACTCAGTAGCAAACTTATAATCGGGTAATCTTCTGGCACCATACTGAGTCGCCTGGCAAAAAATAAAAATAAACTTTTGGGGTGTCAGTGCCCCTTAAGTTTTCTTAGGCAAATAAGTTCCACACCAGCAAAATTATTTTTTAATTTCCGTCTTACGTTTCTTATGCCTTTTAACGTCATGTGAATTTCACAAAGGCCAAACGTCCCCAGACTGTACCATTTGCCCTCAAAATACAATTTGTAGTTCTGCCGATGGTATGCAACTTTGCAACTTAGAAGTCTTACGAAGAAGTTGATTGGTCTTAGTTTTGGTCTTGCCGTTTCATGTTGTTTTATTTTTTAAGCCAGAATTATAAAATATTTTTTTGATGGCAAAGGGTCTAGATAACGGAAGTTCGCTTTTTGTTTAGATAGCATGCAATGCTTATTGTTAAGGCTGTATTGTTTGAGAACCGAAGTTCACAGTTCGGAAATCGGGTCACCGTGCTGAGGTTCAAACGAAGAACTTGACTGATTCAAACTTTATAACAAAAGTAAAATGAAAAATATAACAAAGTATGGTGCTCTGGCGTCGGTTGTCGTAGTTAGGTTTGCGGCTATATAAGGGTCTGGATGAAATAAGCAAAGTAGCTAAGTTTGAGTCGTTCTTTTTCGCGTGCCCTTTTTTCACACTAAGTTTTAAACATTTTTAACAGTCTCACGTTACTTTCAACGTGGTCGACATCTACCAGCTCACCTGCACGCACCCTGTATTTTCGTGAAGAAAGTGCTTCGCTAAACACATACTAAAAATTTTCAAGCGAAAACTAATCATCGTTCTCAAAAAACTACAGATGCTGCAACGGTGACCGCCGACAAGCAGCGTTTAGTGATGCTATAGTTTTTTTATTCGTTTCGAGATATTAACCTTTTACTCTTGTAATGATCAGGTATTATGATTTTGGGAAATTGAACTGAAGCGCAGCGTGCGCCATCTAAGCGACTGGTGGTTGATAAAAAATAATAGATAAAAACAGAGGCATGATTTTATATTTGGAATTTTCTGGGTATTCTCAAAAAAAGCATAAATTTATTCCGAGAAATTTCCAGCACTACGCTGTGTCCCGAGTAAAAGATCAAATTCGAAGGGGCCAAAATAGTTAAGGTTTTTGGCAAAGAGATGTGACCATTAGTTAATGCCTACAAGGTTCAAGTTTCCTTTTTTCCTGTTCACACTGAGATGCAGCCAGTAGAAACGTGAAGTCCTGGCGACAAGAAAAAGTTTTTGGGAAAGGGTAAGTTATATACCCACCAGATGTTTACCCAAAAAGGGCTTCATTGAAACATGCTATTAGATATTTTATTTATTCAGATCAGATTTACACCTCATTATCGAAAACAACATGACCCCCATATATAAAACCGCTGTCAGTGACCACTTTGACATCTGTTTTTATTTTTCTGCATTGCTTAATATCCGCAAAAAAAGTTTTATTCTCCGCTTTATAAAACACTGCAAACATGTCCAATTGAAGGATGTGAAGCTCATTACTGTGCCTGATTTCACAGTAATGAGCTTCACAATCGAGTTATAAATAGTTCAACTGCGCCATTCGTCACATCAGCTTATGTAATGCTCCTAATGGGCCGTTAAATTAAAATAAGTGAATAAATAGCAGATCTCATATTAGCGATTTACACTCAGGTTCCAAGACAATTCTTTCAAGTTTCTCCTACATTGTATGCTAATCAAATAACCTCTTTAGCCCCTTGATCAGCATGCGAGACCCATATACCACCCTTAATTTAGCAGATATTAATATTTTTAACTCAGTTTGCAGCATTTGCTTGTCTCACACGGATCTCAATATATTCCTGTTGTACATATTATACAAGATATCAACATGTAAAATAAAAAGAAATAAAAAAATTACTGAGTTGTTTTAAGATTCTTAATGCGTGGGGTGTGCAACCCGAGTTCTAGAGCACAGAAATAGTCTAACTAAAGAAACCACAGAACTGTTCAGTAGGCATACCAGCTGTCGTCGAGGAAACGCATTCCGCAAGAAGAATGGCCAGGGAAAGCCCCGCAAGGACCATGTTCCTCTGAATCATGTCGGTAAGACGGCGAACTTCCGAAACACACTTCAGTGACGGGAATACATTGCAACAACCAAAAATACGAGCCACTACCGATCTCGTCGGCGCGTACAATCCGTGTGAAGCTCCAAACGTGAAAGAGGATTGCGGTGGTTTTCAAGAGAGTATTTCCGATCTCGTGGTAACTGAGCAAAAAGGGCGCGTTTCCGCGATTGCAACAACGAGCCTGGAGATAATATTCAACAATAGCGCATGGCGAACATTTTCATATTCTTTTTATCTTGGCGATTTCGCCCCATCTCAAGGACCTGACAAAGTCCGGAGCGTCACGCAACGCCCCCCGAATGAAGAGGGGAGCAAGGAACTCGAAGCAACGCGACGCAGTCAGATAAAATTGATATACCTGCAGTGTTGGGAAATACTTGAAGTACATTGTACCTAAAGTACTACTTCAAGTAGGCTTAGGAAACTTGTACCTTGCTTGAAGTACGTTCTCTGGGTATGTACTTGTACTTTACTTAAAGTATTTTTTTCTGGTACTTTTCGAGGAAAGTACAATTCCCGACTTCAAAATACATTCCCCAAATTTGCTTTTGTTAAACTTCTGTCACGAAATGATGCTTTGTCAACTCCGAAGAAATACTGGGAGAGATATTCTACTTTCACCAGAAACGATAGCAAACTACGCATCGCCCCATTTGTTCTGGGGGCGGCTTACCCGTAGCTTTCAGAACAATCACTAGCTCTCGGTAGATAAGCGTAAGGGAAGAGGTTTAAAATATTAGGCGAGCAAAATTATTCATAATTTAGCACCTGAAATGGTGGTGCGGAAAAATTAAACTTTTAAATCGAAGAAAAAGACAATTGACGAGAACGTCACAATGTTTAGAGATATTCTCTCTTGCTGCAGATATGAATCTGCATCACCTATGCAACGAAAAACAGAAAACCGCATTTTCTTGCGAGCGCTTGTTCTTATTTGAAAAAAACGAAACAAATCGAAGGTCGAAGTGCCTCTCAACTCTCCACGCCGAGTGACGAGTGACGTACTCTGGGGGTTCACGTGGTTTCCCCTTTAGTTTTCTCTTCAGAGACCCCAGCCGCTTCCACCGCGACTGTCGACTTTTTTAAGATTAGCCTCGTCGAAGGTCGCGGCGATCGATCGACACAAAGGACGGTTCGCCAAGGGGCTGACGGCGAGTGTAGCAGCGGAGGGGACAGGTCTTGTTGACTTCCGCGTATCCCCCACACACGCTGTCTTTTTCTTTCCCGTAACCGCCACAGGCGGCTGTAGGTTGGCAAATAATTCGTTTTTTGCATTGCGATTACGCAGCAGAATAGCAGTTTTCCGGGGAAAGGTGACGCGTTTCTGATCACTTGGGGCTGCATAAGCAATATCCAAAATGCAAACGGGCAATTCTTTCAACATCAAAATCGTTGCACTGCCCCTTTAATTTTTTCGCACCCCAATCTCAGGTGTCACATTATGATTAATTACCACCAGCTCGCTTCTACACTCACTGTGTTTTTTTTTCATTAAGGAGAGTACACATTTCCATGATAGGATTGCTTGCGGAAGCTGCAGGGCTGACGTCATGCTCTCTCCTAGAACATTTAACCCCCTTGGGTGCCACTATTCAGTGCAAGAAAATCACTATACAGCGATTTTTGGCTGAATTCCTGAAAATAAATACTCTGTGTCTACTTAAGGAAATATTTGACGCTGTACTTGAAAATAGGTCATGCAGCCCTGATTACCCGTGGGCAAAACATACCAGTTAAAAAGTCACTGTATAGGGAAATTAAAGGGCATCATGAGCGATTGTGTTAAAATACTTGTAATTTACTTTTAAAGTACATTGTATTTAAAGTAATTTACTTTGATGCATTGTACCCAGTGTACTTACTACTTTACTTGAAGTACATCACGTCTAATTTACTTTGTACCGTACTTGAAGTACCTTTTAGATGTACTTTACACAACACTGGATATCTGCACTGGTGAAACACAGTCATGTTAAGAACGAGTTGGGAAAGGTTAGACATAACACAAGCCTGAGAATGGAAGTAAGAAATAGAGGACACACACGAAAAATATCTAACACAGCTGAAACTTTATTACAGCTGAAAAGTGCCTAAATAGGACATACCGCAAAGAGACAACACATCACAAAAGACAGAACGAAAGCAATCACCCCCTTTCCACACAAGTACAACTACACCTCTATACTCACCCCCAGACAAAAAAAAAGCGTCCTCCACCGAACCCAAACTGGAACCATACTTGGTGTTTGACCACAACACCTCTTCTGCTCCCCTCTCATAGATTAGATCCGTGTTCAGTTAGTTAGAGATTAGGGAGGATGTTTTCCTGTGTTTAGAGTGATTTACATAACTGTAGTAGTGCTGGCGGGGAAAGAGGGCGATTGCCTTTCTTCTTTCTTTTTGGCGCTTTGTAGTTACTAAAAACTTTTTAAATTCAATAATTTTTCAGTTGTGCTGGGCTTTTTGGTTTAATCTCGGGGTTGTGTTGTCTCCTAAAGTATGACTTCTCCCCAGAAATGAGGGGCTTTAAAACGTGCACTTCTTTTGTCGGGATAACTACACGTTTAGTCTAAAGACGCTAACAAGGCAATGTTGGAGTTTTGATTTCATTTCTCTAAACACCAATCCAATGCGATCAAGACTACCTAGCTATGTCTAATGCTCAATCGGTGACTATATTGGCACACAATATAATGTCCCTTTTTCTGGGTATATAATACACCAATGTGCAATTAAAGAACAAACATCACATTACACCCATTGAGTCTAGAATTCAAGACCATATCAGTGTAAATTCACTTTGAATGCTGCAAGTGATTTAACATATTTTCAAATATCTTAAAAAAAGTATAAAAATGTATTAGTTATCTTTACAGTCCTGCAAGTAGAGTAGAACAAAGGTTCTCCAGGACCCCTCTATTATTCGACCAGATGTTTGCAATATTTCCAACAAAAAGTTTGTAACCTGCAACTTCCACGGGTTATCTTCGGAAAAAAAAAACATCTTAATTCTCAGGGGTTTTGTCAATAAGCACAAGTGCACGTCTGAAGCAATTGTACTATTTTTCTAAAAACATTTCTGATACTTTTTATTCATGTTTGCCAGCGTATCTAATTGCACAAGATTTGCCAATTTTAACGAAGTGCATAGAGAGGTGCAAGACTGGAATCAGAAGGAATCACATTTTCTATCATAAAAACAATTTGGAGGGGACACCTTTTTTATTCCTCACCTCACCTCACTAACCATTAGGAAATTCTTTTTTACTCACAGTGAGCTTGATATATTTAGCAGTGCATCTGTTTTTAATAATTTCAAAGCCTAATTTATATAGAAATGTGTTGTGGTAACTGAAATCTGACAAAATAGGTCAGAATAAAACTTGCTAACGACTAGGTGGAGCATAATTTAGAGAAGTAAAACTAATATAAATTTAGTTACAAAATACTTAAATTATAAGCAATGTAAATTGCCATTGCTCTTTAAAAATCAACTAGAAATTATGTTGAATGATACTAGAAGTTTATTGCCAAGCAAACAAGCAAAGTGTAAAAAAAGACCATCAAACAATGTGCAAAACATGATCAGCATTGTTGTAAAGACATTTAGTGTACTAAAATACGCAAGATCGCCAACAGATAGTCACAATGGTCAGACATTTCAATTACCTTACTGCGAACTCACCAAACTGCCACAAGTTCATTGATTTCACTAAGAGTAATTGTAGATTTCAGGTAAGCCTGGCGAAATTTTTTGTGGTCCTCTTAATACTGCAGGTGTGGTGTGTGCATGAAGGTAATCATTTCAAAAGCAAAAGCCTTCAATTTTGGAGCACTTCAATCACATTTAGTCAACACGATTTAGCCAAATGACTACAAAATAAAACTGTTTTTGATTGTTTCAAATGTACACGCAAGGAGAGGTAAATCTGCTTTGGGATTTGGCGACACTGATTCCAAATTGATGAGGGGCAATTAATTATTTTCAAAATAGGTGCGGCCACCTGTAGAGGCTAGACATTGGTCATCTTTCCATTTCTCTGTTTGCACCAAATGAAAGAAGACAAAAAAAGATTCTTCGCGAAAATTTAGAAAAAAAAGGACATCATACAGCACTTCTTTATCAATTAAGAATGGGCACAAAAAGAATGGCTGAGGAGCTCAATTTAGCTCACTGCAGCTCAGCAAAGTCAAAAGGAGTCAGCTTAAAAACGTTTTACACCAGCAATGTCGGAAAAAGGTCATTGCTATATAATCCTTGTAACTTAGAATTAGGCCTACATTTGAAATGGATGCATCTCATACACGACGATTCGAATACCTCTGACACGTGCTTTACTAGTTTTGAAATGTTCTCGGATCTTTGAAGTGCCCATTCCAGCATATTTGCACCACGGACGCCCAACTTACCTGGACATTACCGCAATGAATTTTGCAACATCCCATTGCAACGTAGCATTGTTATTCCGCATCAGATTAGATTTGTCCAATATGCTTTTGTCTTCTCAGCAATTACGCCAAAGAGAGACACTTGATAAACGTCAGATGGGTCGATAACGCAAGATCTGCATTCTGCTATGCACAGTATTTGCACATTCGTTTTGTTCAAGTTTGAAGGAGGATGGATGTTGCCTTATCGCGCCAACCTGAAACGTTGTCCATATTCTTACATTTTGTGATGGAGGCTGTAGCGCCTGAACTGTAAAGACATCTTCGTTTTGTGCTCGTGGTGTTGACCTTGAGATTGTAAATATATAAGGAGGTGGACTAAACAAACGAGTTAGCTGAATTCAAGACGTCATCCTGTCTTTTTTTCTGTCTCTTCTACGTTTTCATGTTTGCTTCTCTACCCCAATCTCAGGATACTTTAACATGGTTTAAAAACTCGCAATCATCGCTAATGGCTGCCTTTTCTCAATTGTATTGTTTCATAAATGTGCTGAGCGTTTTTTTTTAAGCCATAGCTTTAACGGGCTCGTATCGCAAAAAAGCCAACGTCGATGTCGATGGTGAACGGAAAAATCCTGATTGGTCGATAGGGTCATGACGTTAAAGCCACATAACCTCGCGCGTGTCTCAAATGATTTCCATTTATAAAGTAATTCATTTGCCTCAAAGAAAAAATTCGATGAATTTTAAGCGCCCCCCGACCCTTCGGTTACAGCCCTTAAAAGCCACCGACTACGCCTAACCGACACGCTGGTTCG